GGCTATGATTCTAAAACGAGTCTCCCACTTGGGAGCCAACCTCTGATCGAAGATTCTAAATTTTAAACAAAATATGCATTCCTTCATAAGGTATGTGATGTTTCATTCATTAAACTACCATATTTTTCCAGACGGGCTCCCAGAAAACATATAAAAAAAATAATTGCAAAAACTGAACTTTGTTATATCATTCAGTGGAATTTTTTTACACTGGCATCAATGTAGTATTGATGATTTATATGTATGTTACTCTGGTGAACCTGAAACCTTGAATGAACAAACTAACTGTCCTGGGTTCGCTATAAGCAGAGAAAACAGAGAAACAGTAGAGCAGCTTTTACAGAAAAAAACACTCCATTTCTAATCCAACCATTCCTGTTCTAAAAGAGAATTTTTAAATGCAGTTGTCAACAATGGAAACCTTGCTGTCATGAGATTCTGGCCACATTCAAACTAGAAAATACATACCTTCTAGTTCCAGATCTGACCTGGCAGCAAAACTATATGGGTGTACTTGGATCTAGCAATTCAAATTTGGCTTCCCACGGCTCTGAAATTTGTAGAGGTTTGGATTCAAGGGTCTGATTTTGTCCTATTGGTATATAATTGGTTGAATATATTAACAGTAATTTATATGAGCCAACCAATATAGTTTAGGATAAACATATTTGATGAACTACTAAAATAACTATCAACATTCTTTTTTTCTTAATAACTATAATCCGATTTCTTGTATATCTATCTAATCTATGTACTTAGCTATCGTTTTACAATTAAGGTGTGGTTTTATTTGAATAATATTGTATTCTCTTTATCATGCCTTCAGTATATAACATCAAATCAATGGCTCTGTCTGCACCATTCTGTTGAACCTAGTTTTAATTCAAGTACAGGCCTGGCCTAAAGATCCAGTTCTGTGAAGTGTTGAGCATATCCTCAAGGGGCTCAGAACCACACCATATCATGCTCTAACACATGCTCAAGAGAAAACCAGATGAAGATCTGCAAAGGAAAGACACTCCCTTATTTCCCCTCATTAGTTAAAAAGAGTGAATAGTTAGATACAGGTTTGTTGGAGACTTCATTTTGCTCTAAATTCTTGAACATATACTCACTCCCCTGTGCTACCTAATCTGACAGTGAAATGTCTTTTGTTGTATGCTTTGATTAGACAACTAATCTGTCATTGAGTCTGTGATGTTTGTCCTGGCTTGGGTTCGTTTACTATAAAGAAAGCTACAATTACATGATTTTCTCTATTGGTCTTGCTGTGCTGATTAGCACAAAATAGGCTTTAGCATGTCTCAGCCCTGCTGTTATGTATCATGAAAATCAGATATGGTGAGAACTATTCTCATTTTCCCCTACCAATAAAGAATTGTTTCTTATAGTATACTCTTGAGTGTTTTGTCCAATCCTGCCTTTAACGACTCCAGCAATGGGGCTTTCATGTTGTGATTTGCCTATTCTTTGCCTTACTGGTGTTCTTTTACTGGCCTGCTCAGCACAGGGGATATTTTCTCAAAATTCCAAACAAGCAGAACTAATTTTAAAACCAGCTGGAGCTTCATTATATACAAGGCTCTGGAGACAAGAACTGTTATAACTAGTTTAGTTTAGTTAAATCTGCTTTGAGGAGGTCTCACTAAGCGAGTTATAAGAATGGCGCCCACTGCTGGAGACTTCTGTACCCCGTGCTTCCAGATACTTTTGAAACTGATTTGAATATTTTGATGAATTTCCCCTGTGTAGACAAGAGTGGCAGTCATTCCAAAAATTGTGGAAGGAGCAGCAAAGGTTGCCATTACAGTAACATGTGTTGAAACAGCAAAATGGAACAAAAGTTTGCATATTAACTTATCAAAAGTGATTTGTTTAAATTTAATTCAAGTCAAACCAATACTCACTCTTCTCTAACAAAAAATGGATGGTGAAATATAGCACGTTTCCTGCAAGTGAAAATGCTTGGTGCATGCCTAGCTTAGGGAAATTCAGAGACAGTAGGCAAGATGAAATCCTTCAGGATGGATGCAAAATCCTGGTGATTGTGGAGTCTTCATGAATGGAAGGTAGCATTGCAGCAGCTACCTCATGTGTACTTGGATATAAATGCACCCTTCAGATAGAACATAGAATGTAAGTAGACTACATGCTGTTGAGTCACGAGTAGCATACTAAGCAAAGATTTAGGTACCTTGGCATAAAGAAGACAATTTCAGAGAAACCACTCAATTTCTAATCCAGACACTCCTGTTTTAAAAGAGAATTTTTAAATCCATCTAGGTACAATGGAAATCTTTCTGTTTCCACAGTGAAGGAGATAGACTACAAATGCCCTGCACTAATAAATAAATGTTTGTGTACTTGTCCCCTGAAAGCTCTTTTAGCTCCAGCAGTTTTAACTAAAACTCGCCTTATGTATGTGAGTTTAAAAGTTTTCTATTGACATTCTAACAATTTGTATGCATGTCTAATTCCATCATAGACATAATTTAGACACATTTATCACTGCATTACTCTTACACCCAATCCTTGAAGTCAATGGGAGTTTTGCCTGAGCAAGGAGTGCAGGATCAGGCCTTAAACAATGGGAATTTAACAATAATGCCCTATAATAATAATTCACATTTACAGAAGCTTTCAAACAATAATCTCAAAGCACTTTGCAAATGTTAAACCTCACATGAAGAAGTGGGTTGTAGCCCACGAAAGCTTATGCTCTAATAAATTTGTTAGTCTCTAAGGTGCCACAAGTACTCCTGTTCTTCTTGCGGATACAGACTAACACGGCTGCTACTCTGAAACCTATGGGAGTTGACCATCATCATCATTTCCTGGATAGGAAAAGCGAAGAACAGATAGATCAAAAACCTACATGTGCAAAGTGCTGACTGGACAGATGTCAGTTGTAGCGAAGATTCTCAATGCTTGTCAGGAAGTGCTCTACGCCTTGAAGGAATGCATTCGAACTGACTGGTGCAGTGTCACAAAGAAAGCCAGTGGCAGAGCCAGGGCTAGAACCAAAAGGCAGGATGGTCTTGCCCATAAGGCATTGGACTGGTATTCTGCATTTCCAGATTCAACTCTTGGCTCTGCCACAGATGTCCTGGAAAAGTCATCTGATCTCTTTGTGCATCAGTTCACTCTCTGTAAAATGAGAGTAACAACATTTCCTTTGCCTGTCTTGTCTAGTTAGCAAAGCACTTCAGCAGATGCTTAAACTTAAGCATGTGTCTGTGTTCTTCTGAAAACAAGGCCCACAGTTTAAGGCCAGAAGGGCTCTGTACATCATCTAGTCTGACCTCCTGTATATCAGACTGAAAACTCTTTGGATCAGAGACAGTCTTTGTGTATGTGCAGTGCCTAGGACAACAGAATCCCGCTCTTGGTCAAGGCCTCTTGGTACTACTATAATACAAATAACACATTAAAAAAGTAATAGCCCTGATTTCCAGTATCTTGTTCTACCCAATAAACCAGACTTCCTCTATTTCTCCTTGAAACAATGTCCCTTAAGGAATGCACTTTTGAATTGTATGATGAAAGGCTATTATTTCTATACACATTAAAGCTTGCTTTTATCTCTCTTGAGAAATGAACAGGCTTGATACTACTCTGATTTTAAAACTTTGTTGTTTGTAAAAAGAGTCTTACTAAAAAAAAAAAAAAAATTGCCAGCAAAGCAGGTCTGTGATCTAATTCTGAACATGGCATTTCTTTCATTTAACATCAATAATATTCATGACTAGTACTTAGATCCCAAGCCGTGTTCCAGGATTGAAAAAGAAACGCTAGGAGGGAAATTTTGCATTTCTGCTGCAGATGTGATTTAATCCTGGCATCTAAGTGTCTTGTCTGAAAAAAACTTACTCAAGCTAGGAAAAAAACAAATAAAGCAGGAAATGTTTCATTCCCAGTGAATTTTTTTGTTTAAAAAAAAAAGTTTGCAAAAAAACCTTTCCCACTAGAGACACTGGGAAAATGTTGCTGCCCACAGCCCTTGGCATGACCTATCCCAGCCCTGTGGGGCTGCTGCAGCAACATTAGCTAAACTCCCACCCTGTCTCCTTTGGTGGCTCCTCACGCCCTGACCACATTTCTCCTCTGTGCAAAGCAGCTCCCAAACTGTCCTGATCAAAATGCTGGAGCATCAGCAGCAACCCCCCCCCCCCCCTCCCTCCATACAACTGTCCTCAGGGGATTAGCCCATCTTCTTCCATTTAAGGATTGCAGCCTTCACCCCTCTCCGATCCTATCCTCCTCTCTGCGGCTGGCTTGTGCTCCTCCAGCTCTCCCTATCTGCCTCACTGTTGGGAACAAGCCTCCCCCCAGAAGAGACACAACCCAAGGCCCCACTGCAATGTAACTTTCTCCACTATTCCTCAGCCCACGTATCCATCCCCTTCTCCCCCCACATCGCTCCACCCCCCCCCCCCGCAGGGTCTGGGGGGGGGCGGGGCTCCCTTGACTGATGCTTCTCCGGGGAGTTTGACACCCACTCGCCTGTGCCGCCCCCGTCTCTGCGCTTCTCAGTCTCCAAGAATGTCCCGGCTAGCCCCGCAATTGCCGTGCCTGCAGCGGGGTCCCGCCCGGTGAGCAGGAGGCGGTGGGAGGGGAAAGCAGCCGCGCGCCCTGCCTGCCTTGAAGCCCATTGCGTGGCAGCGGCAGCCCACACAGCCCTCTGCTGGGAGTGCCCGGGCGCGGGGGGCAGGAGCAGGGGCCACGCGAGCCTCCCAGCCCCGCACCGCCCCCGCCTGTGTCCTCCAGCCCCGCCCGCCCTGCGCCGCTGCCGGGAGGGTTCCCCGCGCATCTGGGAGCGGGAAGATCCGAGCGAGCCCTTGGCACAGCGGGTCAGTAGCCGCCTTTCCCGGCCCGTGGGCTGCTCCCCGCCCCGCTGCTGGCTGGCTGGTGCCTTTCCAGCCCCGCGGAGCATTGCCGCGGCTGCCTGCCCCGCTGCAGCTGGGAGCAGCGCGCCTGGCTGGGCGCCTCCGCCAGGCTGGAAGTTGGCCGCCCAGCAGTCGGGCGGCTGCCTTGTGCCCGGCACCTTCTCACCTGACAGGGGCAACTTCCCCCGGCAGACAGCCAGGACCTGGCTCATCCCTGCCTCCAGATCGCCCGGGCTGCGCTGCGCTGCACAGTCACTCACAGCTGCCACGTGAACCAGGTAACGGGGGTTTTCTCAGTGCGGGGGCTCTGCTACAGTAACGCCTCCCGGAAAGTTTAGGGGGGCAGCGTGAGAGGGAATGGGAGAGCGGTTCTACCCCCGGACCAGAAAGGGCTCCGGAGACTTTGTATCTTCATGCAGGCTGGACGGGTTCAGATTTCAAGTTGACACTGACATATTGGGTACATTGTTCCGCACACAAAAAGTACAGTGCAACATAGGTTTGTTTTTTTAAACTAGCACGTCGGGCTATGAATGAAAGCAGACTTTCCTAGGGCGAGATCCTGCTCCCGTTGAAGTCAATGGGAGCTTTGCTGTTCATTTCACAGGGAGTAGCATCTGGCACCTTACCACCAAATTCTCCATATTGTCCTTTATTTTAAAGCACGTGATCTTTCCTAATAATCGGGGGGGGAAATTCAAGCACCGTGATCTACCTGTATATTGTTAATTATCATCATCGAGCTAGTGTGATGTGGACTGCATGAGCCACAGAGATAAGGACAACCTTTGGTCCAAAGAGCCTACCACCTAAAGAGACACAGAGGAGACAGGATACATTATATACCACTTTTTAGGTTTTCCTCCCATGTTTTTGATCTTTTGTAGGTCAGAGGTGAGGTGAATACATACAGATGATTGGTACAAATACATATAGACTCTTCTGCCAGAAAATAAGCTTCATAGCAGAGGATTATTTTTCTTAAATAAATTAAAAAAGTAAACAAATTTAATGTGGTGTGCATGGTTAATTTCATTTTAAGACCCTTTCCTACATTCCCTGCTGGTAAAAATGGAGTATTAATTTTATTGCCTGTACATGAAGTGAATTCACTGACTTGGCATGTAGCCATGCTTAAAAAAAAAGTAAATAGCTGTCAGAATTCATTTGGCAGCAACTGTGAGAAATGATCATAACCATACAAATGCTATTGGATTCAGACGTAATGATCCATTGTGGATTTAAAAAAATATTCCTCCAACTTTTGGAGAGTAGTGATTAGTTCTGTACTGTAATCGGAAGTGGGAGGATGCTACAGTGCTACATTAGAGATATGTAATTGTTAGAGAAGGAGGCTGGGAGCCAGGCTGTGTTCCTCAGGTCTTTAGCAAACCACTTGCAGGCAAAATTTTAAATGTGGCTGCTTCTTTTAAGCAGCACAGATTTTTGGGTACTCAACTTGGGATAGTTTGGTACTAATATGCCTGCAGCTGCCATTGACTTTAGTTGGAATTGTGGATGCTTAGCATCTCTATAAATCAGGCACAAGGTGTCTCCTTTTGGGAACCTGAGCACTGATGCACCAAAAATCCCTGGCCATTTTGGACAAAATTTTAACCTATGGAAGTCTCATTTTACTCATCTGTGAATTAGGTGCTTTAATACTACTTACGTAACTTCCCAAGGGCCTCAATCCTGCAAAGACTTATTCAGATACTTAACTTTACTATGAGTCGTCCCATTGAATGCATAAAGTTAAGCATGTGTGTAAGTCTTTGCAGGATCAGGGCCTCAAATGTTAAGGATTAAATAGAGGTTTTCCTTTCCCCTGTGTGAAAGACCAACACAAACAACAGAGGAAAATGACTGACTAACTTACTACATGGGGGCGGGGGGGACGGACATTGAAACTGGCTCTACAGTGCTGGCAAATGAACATAGTAAAGAAAATGGAATATTTATTCTCTAATCTCTGTCAGTTGTGGCAATTCTAGGTGCTATTTGTAATAATAGTACGGAAGCCATTTTGAGGTAGAAGTGTGATTTATGTGAACAGTGTCTCATTGCTTTGAGATTCTTGGAAGGAACGCACTACAGAGAGTGGAATTGATTATTATTTATTTTATTACTTTAATATTATTGAATTTTTATTTTCCTCCTTGTTATTATTTAACCAGGGACCTTCATCTTCATGACGGAAGAGAGCGTCATGGCCTTTAGGATTCAAGATTTTACTAGGCTGAGGATTGACCGGGACTGAAAGATTCTGGGTTACTCATAAATCTCCCCAAACTAACACACACACACAGTCCCTCTCTCCTCATTGCTACCGTTATTGGTTGTGAGTAGAAAGATGGCATCCAGCCTTACTTGCACTGGGATGATCTGGGCACTTCTCTCCTTCCTCTGCGCTGCTGCTTCCTGCATAGGATTCTTTATGCCCTACTGGCTGTTGGGGTCTCAGCTGGAGAAGTCAGTGTCCTTTGGCACTTTCCGGAGGTGTTCCTATCCAGTGCGGGATGAGAGCCGCCAGACTACAGTGATGGTAGAGCAGTGTGGCCGCTACGCATCCTTCCAGGCCATCCCAAGTGCTGAGTGGAGGATCTGCACCGTGGTGACGGGGCTGGGCTGTGGCCTCCTCCTTTTGGTGGCGCTGACTGCACTCATGGGCTGCTGTGTGTCCGAGCTCATCTCCAGAACTGTGGGCAGGGTAGCAGGAGGCATCCAGTTTCTGGGAGGTAAGTCACAAGCTTTTGGTTCCTGTACTGTGCTTGTACAGTGACTGCATTATTTTCTCTCTTCTTACGATAGCACCTCTGCAGGTTTCAGTTAACCTTGTTCATTCTCATATACTGAAGTTCCTGTCAGGCTGGCATTTAACCTTTCAGAATAGTATGCTGCATTAAATCACTTAAAACTATTATTAGGTTGTAAGAGTACAATTAAATTGTAAGCGCCTTGGGGAAGGGATTGTCTTTTGTCTTGGGTTTGCCTTGACTTCAGTAGGGCACTGCAAGGGGGTATGGGTTTACCCACTTGGATCCAACTGCAGGGTCAAACCCGAGATTCCAACTGGAGAATCTTTATTACAGAATAGAGGATCCAAAGCCAGAAAGAATACAGCTTGACTCTCAGGTCCTAGCTGGAGTTTGCAGTGCTGACAGTTAAGGAGAATTTTTTTTTCTTATAGATTGAGATCAAATTTGACCTCAAAGTTCCTGAGATATTAAACTTGGAACCCCACAATGCTATGCTTGTAGAGTCATTTTTCAGAGTAAAGCATCACGGTATTGTTGTAAGTGGTGCTGGAACATTGCATATGTTCCAGCAACACTTTCCTCTTGAATAACCATTCAAATGAATGAGATTTTAGGCTGTACTATTTATAGTGAGGTTATGTATTTCAATGGCATTCAGCGCAGAAACCATCAAAGCTGCTATGTTTCACATGTCCTGTGATAGCCATTTCTAGGAGTGCAAATTCAGAAAGCATAGTTGTGTGCTTCATTGGGACTTGTAATTCCTTCCCCTCCAAACAGGGCTCACACAGTAATGAAATGGAAATAAATGTTTAAGTATATCACTGCAAACAAGACTGCACTACACAGTTTAAAGTTGAAAATCAGGGGAAAGGAAAGGAAGACTATCTGGGCCAGATCCTCAGCTAGTGTAAGTTGTAGGTCCATTAAGGAGCTCATTTACATCAGCTGAGAATCTGACGCAAAGCTTTGAAGTAATTTCTACACTCAGAAATAACCTGACACTGTTACTTCAGCCTTCTGTCTGCTGTGTGACCTATAGACATTTCTGTATTTAATATGGCTCACAATCTGGAAGAAAATAGCAACGCCTTGAGAGAGAATTGTGACAGTAACTTACAGTTCCAAAAGCCCACTTTGTCATGAAATTCCACCCTCTCCCCCGCCCGCAGGCAGAGGGATGGAGAGATATTTGATTAAATAATATGTGTGATCCCACTCAGACTGGTTATTTTCACTTCCACCCACCACAAAGGCTTCACTCCTGCTTGCTTTTTAGCCACTGTTTTCTGTTTTCAATTTGTCTCTGATCAGATGATTTTAATTTTAGTTGATCCAGTTTTTGTGGCAGCACTCCCCCTTTCTGCAGGCTTGCTGGCCAGGCTGCCCCTGTGTCTGATTACAATCCATGCTAGTGAAATATGACAACCTCCACAGTCAATATTGAGGGAAGGGGAACAGAAAGAATGGAAAACTCACAAATCTTTGTGGCTTTGTCTTGTGCTGTAACTAGTATGCCACCCCTCTCTGACTGCTGATGGAGACTTGGAATCAAATGTGATGAGGGAAGAGGCATCCTTAAGATTCATAGATTCATAGATTCTAGGACTGGAAGGGACCTCGAGAGGTCATCGAGTGCAGTCCCCTGCCCGCATGGCAGGACCAAATACTGTCTAGACTGGTTACAGTGCAAGCCAACGGAGTTTTCCAGCATAGACTGCAAAACAATTTTCCAAGGAGGGGTGGACATAAGTGTTCAGAGTTTATTTTCAGAAGGTGCAATCCAAAAGATCAGTGAACTTGTGAAAATCACAGACAACTTTACTTACAGTTCAGAAATTATTTACACAGCATGTGTAATTTCCCCCTCTACTGGGTTTTAGGGTTATCTCTGATTTCGTGCAGCAATGCTGTAAAATGCCCAAGAAATGAACTAATTGAGAAACCATCACTTCTGAAGGTACATAAAAAGCAACTTAAGGCCTTAGGGATGGGGGATGGTGTGGTGGGTCAGTAACTTGGACAAGTTAAAGGGATACTGTCAAAGTAAAGAACAGAGGTCAGATCCTTAGCTGGTGTAAAGCTGCATAGCTCCATGGTCTTAAGGAGCTATGCACCAGCTGAAGATTTATCCCAATTTCCTCCCCAAAAACCTTACTATTACTCTATGTATATTACTAATCAAGACATAGACTATTGAAAGGAAAAGTATGTTAACTATCGAATGTATTTTTATGCTGTTTGTTTATCTTTTTGCCTTTCACTCAGTTTGGCAGTGATTCTAGGTCAGTCAGTTTTCACCTTCTGTTTATAGATGCTTTCACCTTCTGATTCTTCTGCATCAGCACACTTGTTGTGCCTGCTGTCAACAACTCAGGGGGAATGTTTGAATGTAAAAGAATATTAGCTGATGTTAAACACAAACATAAAAACATGATAGATTTTCTAGCTCATGGGTTTTGATAGGTACTACAGTTATGGGCACTAAGTGTTTTAAAAGGCACTAACTTGGGTGAATAAACTAACTGGCCAAATGCCTTGTAGTGGGAGACATAAGGGCAGGTGAGAACACGATACAGTTCGGATACAGCGATTGGGGGCTGGCCAATACTGACAAATTGATCTGATTGTCCTGCTCTGGCATCAGAGGCTTTTTACTCTGCTATTGAGATGATGTGGGTGGGCACTAGTAACACAGGGCCTGATTCTCCTCTCACCTGAGTGCAAATCAGGAGTAACTCTAGGGAGGTCAGTGGAGTAACCCCTGTGTAAAACCAGCTAAGCCTGCCCTAGTGAAATGGTGCTAAGGCTTTACAGCTGGGGTTTCACAGAGTTGTTGCTGTATGTGGCAACCAAGAGTTAGTTACTCATGGCTGCTTACCATAAACCAACTCCTCTCCTGAAAAATGAATGATAGAACCTGCATGAAACTGCAAATCCCCACAGACTAGGAACAGCAGTTTCAAAATTGGTTTGTCTGGCATTTAAGAGGCTCGTTTACTGTTTCAGAGGATCCTGAGAGTGGGGTCTGTATATATTTTAAAACAATACTAGGATACTATGCTCTGGGGTTCTTAAACTTTTTCAGTCTTAACACAGAGATTGCCTTGTGGACTCTTCCCTCCCATTCTCAATCACACAAACCACTTCCCATCCTAATTATGATCCCAATATCACTGCAGCGATTACAACAATTGCTTACATGGAAAAGTAACATTTAGGAAAGTGTTTAATGTATATTTAGTTTCTTCTTATGCAATTAGCAGCCAGAAACAAGGAAAAGGAGCCAGCACCATTTGGATAGCCAGCTCTCTGTTGACCATCAGTGGCCCACAGATCATAGTTTGAGAACTGCTACTGCTGTAGCTGATACTTTACAAGCACTTTTGCTGTATTGTTTCTGAGTACTGATAACCAATGTGAAAGTTATACTGTCTATAACCTCTTGAGGGCACAGTTATGTAGATGCATACAGTCTTCATTGAGAATAGTAAGTGCAATGTATCGAGCTGGTTTACTCTGAATGTTTGGAAGATTGAGATATATATCATGTACCTATAATAGACTGTACTGAAAGGTATGTCTTTAAAAATAACTGTAAAGTTTAACAAAAACTAAAGTTTAACAAATCTACAGCAAACTGTACTCTAATTATCGATCCTCTTTTCATTGCAATTTGGTTAGATATGACATACTAATGTGATGAATAATTTCACTCTCTGAATGAAGAGCAATCAAATTAAAAGCACAATGAACTAAAAGGTTACCCAGTTTTATTACACGCAGTGTATCGAAAGATACAGTATTTCACATACAGTAAATTTAAAGAGCATGATGCTAGCAAGGTGACTCTTCATAAAAAGGGTCGGCATACGAAAGAAAAGAACTGAAATCTGCACTTATTTAGGCAAAACTCCCTTTGAATCTGTGTTGAGCCATATTCAGGAGTGAAATGGTGACTCACCATCTTTGATATATCTCTGAATTAGACCCATTGGTCTTAATTCTGGGATGCGTGTTGTCACAGATCCTAGCGAGCACCCCTTTTTGGCCATCCACTAGGAATGCCAAAGGGACTCCAAGCCTTTGAACTCTGAATTGTCAAAGGTATTTCAAGCTCCATGAACCTGAACGGAGTGCAGCCATTGCACCACCTTAGGCACACTCACAGGGCCCAGACCTTCTATCTGGAACTCCCCCTCTGCGTGTTGGAACCTGCTGTCCAGTCACTTACCCCTCCTGGCTGACCCTTCAGACTCCCAGTACTTAAACACACCCTCCCCCAGAACTCCACCGCCAAGGTCTGATGCTTTTCATTTACAAATTTGACTCCCTCAGAGGCACACAGTATTTGTGAAGGTCTCTCTCTCTCAGTCACTCACTCTTACTTTGTTTAATGTATCAAACTTTATGCTCTTTATATTTCATCATGTAAAGCACAGGAGAATACAGATCACACCAAACAATAAAACCTTCTGCACACAATGTCCCTCATTAGCTCATCCTTCCCTTGAGAAATCATCTGTATTCTCACAGGCAGGCAGAGTCCTCCACCCTGTTGCCTACCTTGCCCCTGCAGCAGCTTCCTGCATCTTAATGTTTGTAGTGCAAGATGGCTGTGTCTCCTCTCATTCCCTCTTGTCAGTCCCTTTATAGACTCCTGGTGGGGGTCACCTACTTCTTTTGTTCTGCCTTTTGGTAATTTTCCATTACCCTCAACCCACCCACCCCTTCAGACAAGAGGAGAAAGTGTCTTCTCCCAGGCAGAGCAAACCTATTGTCCCAAGGTGTTTTACTCTGAACAGCTGATCACTGAATAGTGATCATTCACCATTGTCTCTGGCCTGGAAGAGACATGACACAAGTCTGCTAACTCATGGGGGATCCACAGATATATGGTAATTTCATAAAATCAAAATTCAGAAGTGGTCAGGCTGAACCCCCAGTTTGTTATGCATCTGAAAAGTGAGTTGCTTTTC